AAGTATCCTTTGCCCTTATTATCAAACATTTTACCAGACTTCTTGAGCTTAATTCTGCCATTGTTCATCTACGACAAAAGCACTTGGAACAGTATCAGTGCAGATACCCGGGAGGCAGCTGCCAGTTATCAAAGCCAACAGGAGCGGGCCAGCTCCTCCAGGGGCTCCAGACTGTTCCTAACGGGATTACACAGAGGGCTGCAGGGCTCTTGTTAATCACCAGCCCAGGCCGCCTGCGCAGTGAAGCCGCTGGCAGAGGCTCCTGGGAAATAAGCTCTGGTCGGGTCTCAGGCCAGGTCTTTTGTGGTCAGGATCCCACACCAAAACCAGGGAATCGCGCTCCCCTCCGCGGTGATGAGCGCTCGGGGGCACGGAGGCACAGCTCGGACCGCAGTGACTTCACTGACTTCAGGACAAGGCTGGGTGGGGGGGGGGTGCCTGCCTGTGTCCATTCTGTCAAAGACGGGGGTGGGGGGTCCCATTATTGTCAATAGCTTTGGCTCTCGGGAGCCCCAGCTCTTTTTGTGTTTTCCTTAAAGGCACAAGTGTTTGTAATTCACATCAGGATATTCTCTTGTTTTGGTCTGAGCCTGTGGTTACGTTTTCCTTAACAATGGTACGCGCAGATCAGACATTATTATTCACTGTAAAATAAGAATATTCTACAGAAGGAAAAGGACAGGGCTGGACTGGCACACAAACACCACCCAAGAAGCACCAAAACCTAATTTCTACATCTGAGCTCTGGCAGCAACTAGATAACCACTTCGGATTACAGTGCTTGGCTTCTTTTTAAGTATAACATACACATTTAAGAATATTCCCAAGTTAATACTTTCACAAAAAAAATACATGCATTAAAATGTTCTCATCCTGAATACTACTAGTACATTTCTGTTCTTGATTTTAAGTATCAAAGCATCAGCTACTGGCATTCGCTAAACAAATCATGTGAATTTCCCTCGAGGAGAAAAATAAAGGTATAGTTCAATTAAGGCAGCATCTGATATTTCAGCCAAACAAACAGCAGAATTTGCGGTGCTGACTAAAATGTTCCTGGAATTCCTGGAAAAAGTGATGCAAGAGGCAGAGCTGGTGAAAGAGGCTGTATTTATTGACAGAGCTGGCACCCAGCAGGCAGCCCCAGCACGGGGCGATCAGATCGCCAGGCAGCATGCCTCAATCATGGCCTCAAATTCACTCGTCACCCCAGTCTGTTCCTGCTGCAGGACGCTGCATCAGTGCATCTGCTCCTGTGGGCCACCCGAGCCTCTGCAAAAATGCAGCAGCTCCAAAGTTAAAGTTAATAAACCTGATGACATTTTTGGTGACTCTGATGCACAGAATTTGTTGGGCTTGTCAGAGGTTCCCTGGGACACATCTTCATCTTTCAAACAAGTTCTAAGTTCCTCAGTTGTAAAAAGTCATCAGCTGTGCATCCATAATTGTCTGAAGAGTTTACTGGGCTCTACAGACATGTTAGTAAAATGATTTTAACATGTTAAAGCACATGGAACCTCTCCTGACCAACTTAAATAAAACTATTGTATCGGTCAGGAAAATCTTCATGCCAAATCACGGCTTCTTAAGTACAGAACACGAACATATATAAGTATAATATATAATTGGCACACAAAATTATAGGCTCCTAGCTAGAAGTTGCAAACAAGAAGGTATTCTGCTGAAGAGAACTGTTGCTTCACTGCTCAAGGGAATGGATTTTGTATATGGTTGTAAGAGAAGTTCCTGTGCTAAATAATAAGAGTCCATCATTCTATAAAATTGTGAAAAGCAAATAATTTTATGATTTCACCGATTCCTGCAGCATGTGAGAAAACCAAAAGGTTACATACAGTATGAAAGAAGCTCTTGGGCACATTTTGTTCATCAGGTAATTCAGAACCTAATTCTAGAATGTGAAGGCGTGAAGGCTGAAGAAGGCTCCACAGCCTAAATGTTCTGTCTCTTTTCTTTTCCTTTCAGCATGGAATAAAAATGTACCTGTTCCTTTGCAGCCTACGCATGCAGATGCAGCTACCTACTTGAACATTTTCAGTACATGCAATGTACAGTATAAAACTGTCAGAGAAGGTGGCAAATCTACACCAAAACATATAACAAATTATGGCACATTAAGGAATAAATCATGAAGACCTTTGGTGATAAAAATGTATTCTAAACATACAGCAGATTAAACAGAAAAATAGTGACAATATCACTTGTGTGCACAAACACTTAGGAAGAGATTTCTGTGGTGCAAGATCCAGCTGTGACTTGCGGTATCTCTGAAGCTTTTCAGAGTTAGATGGGAGATTGTTACCAAGTCAGCTTATTGTGGGTTAAACCTTTGTTGGAGTTTCTGTCTAAAGAGTAAATTAAGAGTAAAATTTGATATTTTTCTAATAGTGACCTAAGATGACTGTCTGACAAAAAAAAAATTCACATAATCTGAACTCCAACGCTCTGTCTCGTTTGTTGGAACAGGATTAGCGACTGTGGCATCATTTGCTTTATTAACTTTTCCCAGGGCTGTAAATTACTTAATAAGCTGGCTTTTTTCAGGAAATAGATGCAAACCGTGAATGAGAAAATGATCCATTTGAGACGCAGTAATTTTTTCCTTTTTTGGCAAAACTGCCAGACAGCACATTTTGAAATTTGGAGGCAGAAAAAACACAGGACAACAGTCAAACAAGCACAGCAGCCCCCCGTCATTAAATAAAACTCAAACACAGCATAAAACTGAAAAGAGATATTAGGTAATAGTCCCACAGCTCTATATCTAACATATTTCATTAAGTGAACCAAAGCCCAAATGCACTGGATGTATCCATGCAGCCCGGAGCACTACACATGAACACGCAGGCCAATATCTGATTTTGCAGTTTCAGACACAGCTTGGTATCAGATTCATTACTTTGAGAAAAAAAACAACAACAAAGGGATCAGTGGTTAAAGCTCTAAGAGGTGCCGATTCTGCCCTGAAGTTATCTGAAGAACAGCCTTGTTTTCCCAAAACTGCTCATCAAAGGCCACTGAGGAACAACTGGCTGGGTCTTTCTCCCCCCCAGGAATGAAAGCACACCAGCGGCTTCAGGGGATGCTCCATGAAACCCCTCTGGCGTGTCCCTCCTCTTCCCTCGGACGCGCTCTTGAAATAAGGCAGCCCAGCCTGGAGCAGGGCTTCCTCGTGCACGTGGACTCAAGCACTGTTGGGCAGCTAACTCTCACTGTTCCTCAGTCTCCTCGGACCCTAGTGGCAGAGAGTCTGCTGCTGTCCGTTCATGTCAATCCTTACTACCATGTTTGAAGGGCTCTGAATTTAGAACCTAAAGAAGTTTACCTTTCCAGAGCAACACTGTCAACACAGGAATTGTATTTTACCAATGCCCTAGACCTTCAAAAGTTTCCTTTATTACAGTGTTTTTCCCTGTACAGGGCTGTAACTGTTTACAAAAACCACTAAGCATGTCTCATTAAAGTTGTTTGTTTATCACAATGAAGTGCAGGGGGCTTGTTTTAATTTCACAAAAGCATTACACAACTCAATTCCCATCTATAGTTTCAGTGAGAAAAAAAGAAATGAAAAAAACCCATATACTGTAACTAAGGCATTCGAAAAGAGAAGGTCTGTCATGAACGTGGTATTTGTCTTCTCGGAAAAAGACGCTGAACAGCGGGGAGTGAGCGGAGTGCGTTGTCAGCCTCAGCTGAAATGTGGAGGCAAACGGAAGTCGCACACTGCTCACGTTACAGCCGTCTCCCCCGCCAGCACGGCCTTCCTGCCTCTGTGGCTCCTGTTTGGACCCAACACTCCCATGTGCCCCTGCGACACGGTACAGAACCAGAGTCCTGACACTTAAAGCAAACGCCACCTCCTCGGGTCTTAACAAAACAGTAACAACTGCATTTAAACAGCGCTGTTCGTCCAAAGGGTCCCGGCGAGGTTTGCCCAACCGGAGGGGACCCCCCTTCAAACAGCACCGCGCTGCCACAGCCCCTGGGCGACACACAGCAGCCTCACTGCTCCGCCGATAAGGGAATCAGGCAGAGGAATGAGGATCTGCTTTACCGGCTGAGTTAAGGGGGCACTTTCGGGACCAAGATGGCGCAAGCACAGAGAGCCATCAGGCAGCACACCGGGCCTGACACCCCTGCTCTGTACATGACAATAATCCAGGATCAGATATCATTATTGTTGCGCTTCTCCGAACAGATTCTGAGGCCACGTTGTCCTTTCTGCAATTTGGTGACCAAATTGAGCACAATATTCTGAAGGAGGTCTTTCTAGTGTGACTGAGCAGAAGCTCCCATGATTTAAACTTTACATTTCATGATACAGAACAAAGCCTTCTGTTTGCCTTTTTACGCATTGTCTTGATGAAGACCCAGAAGAATCTCTCAGATCCCTTTCATGTAGATTTTCCTGCCCATGAGATTTTTAGATTGTTTTTGCGACCTGCAACACACCACTGTTTACATCTGCCCCGTCAGATCAGGCATCAGGTGCTGCCAAGTGACGTCAAGTGTTGGCAGCCCGTGATGTGAGCAGCTCCCCGTGGGAAGAGCCACAACCCCCCCCCCCCCCCCCCGCCAGGGTTGCTGATGATGTCATAAAAGGTGTGAAAAGGGTGGGCGGGCCAGTCTGGCTATTACATCATCGGATTCTCAGAAGTCGAGCTCATGATCTCAGCTTCATTCATTTGCAGTACAACATCCAGGGGGGGCACAGGCAAAGTCATAACACACATCTGTTTTTCTGGGAATCTGGCAAAGCTGGTAAAAATCCAGTCCACGTACACTGCCTTGTGATGGAAGAACTAGATTTGGAACTAATGCTATGTGAGGCCTCTATGGGTTTAGAGTGGCCATGCTTCAGGAATGAAATAAGCACTACATTCATTATGCAAATCGAAATTTCCAGAGTGGGATGTGTAAGGGGCTCTTGTTTTTAACACTGCACCTCTTCCTACGGCACAAGGGGTGAAAACGGGTCCCACCTGTAGGAGGAGCCGCTCCAAGGCAAGGAGGGTGTCCCACTTGGAGAGGCTGGGGTGCCGCAGTGCCTGCGCTGTGGCCAGGGAGAGCTGGAGAACTCCGCAGTGGCTCCGCAAGGCCTTCCAGCTCCTCCTGAACAGCTGGATGTGGGCAGAGAGCTGCTCCGGTGTCACGCGGCCTGCAGGGAGAACAGAGGTGGATGAGGAGCAAAGCCCGACTGCAGTTCTAGCAGGGTCTGCTCACTCCTGCGCCTTGTGGGGTCCTGAGAAGCAGCTGTTTAGGAAAAGAAAGAAACGCCGAGAAACACCAGAAATCGGACTCTAATTTAATTGTACATGCCACACCCACAGCCAGACAGGATGTGCATTAGCAAAACAACACGCCGTACTGTTATCAAAAAGAGGAAGGAATGGGAAAGAGAGAATGATGGTAGACAGCTGGTAAAAGTAAAAGCAATTCATAGATAAAACAGAGGAAGAGACCAGGTGTCATTACGAGGACTAAACGCCTGTACACAGTTCCGCTGCTCCCATTTCTTCTTAATCTGTTCTGGTAGGAGTTATTGGGTTGATGTTTTGAGCCACAACTGCATCTCCTATTGAAACTTCGGAGTCCTCATGACCACTGCCAAATCTCTGAGATCAGAAACAATGTTAATAAGCACTTTGATTTTATGCAGCCAGATAGATACTGGTAGCTGTTTTGTGAACTGCCTGTTTCTTTTTCTTGAAACACCCTTATAGACCTATATCCTGGACTTCAAAAGGGATGACTTGGAAATTTTGACAGAACCATAAAATGGACTACTTGTATTGTGTACTGCCTCATAAAACGAAGGCATAAGGTGAACTCAGACGTTTACAAGGAAATCTACGTTTTAAAATAACTGACGGCTTTCCTTTACTGCTTCATTTCAGATCTTCAATCTTCTGAAGTGTACATTTTTAGAGTACATGCACTGGGTTCTGCAGGCGTGAACTGGGCTCTGCAGGCGTGCACGGCCCTGGCTGATCCTCCTTTTTACTGGCAAAGTGGATCTTTCACAATGAGCTACTGCTCCAGAACAGCAATTCTCACTGTTTTCTCCAATTGTCTTGACACACATTGAAGAGAAACAATTATCTATAATTATCTATGGAGGTAAAATAGTTTGACCACGAATTTTATTATGTAATCTTAGACAAATTGTATTTAAGAAAATAAAATTTGATTAAAAACAACTGCGTAACTGCAAGCCATACTTCCACCATGTCCACGTGACCAGTGTCTTACACAGCCTGCAGTAACTCCGACCACTGCCTTAAAAACACAGCACAGAAGCTGCAGAGTATATCTGGACATCCTTTTTCCATATAATATCACGATTCAGTCCAAGAAGTCAATCTGAAATTGACACAAATCACATGCACATCTTTAATGTAATGGAAAAAACTTTACATATTTCATTTTTTTATTTTTAGTCAAATAAAAGGTTTGCACAACCCATCATTCAGTGTGCAGATCATCTGGCTACTGAAACAGGATTAGAACGTTATAATAATGTTCGAAATGATTCAAGATAAGAACAGAAGACAAAGGGGAAACATGGAAGGTGCCCCTGTGAATCTCCTCGGAAAACCTAAAGGGAAAGCCTCATTCTTCCATGTTATGTAGCGGATACCAGAAGATCTGTAAATCAACATTCAGATTTAGACATCCTACAACATGCAGAAATGCCCATCTGAGCTTGAAAGCGAGCTGGTGTAACGGTTACTGCGCTTGCACTTATTAGCTAGTAATAAACTCAACTTCTTGTGTTGACCTACCGAACCAGAAGCAGATGTGCAAGTCATTCTTTATTTAAAATGTTTTCCAAAGGGGGGGGGGAGTCTTGAGATATACTCAGACATAAAGCATGACTGGCATGATGCACAGCAGAAACCAAGCACGCCGACAGACAGAATCATGAGACCAGCTCTAATTCCTGTTTCTCGACCACTTTCACCTCCTGCAGAAAGGGCACTTTGAAATGAAGCATGTTTGAAAGTACACGTGGAATCTGAAATTAAACTTCACTCAAGCAATGATTATGGAAAAAAAAAACCTTCCAAAACATTTCCTGTAAGTGTTTGACAATGATGACATGAAAATAAAAAGAATCTGACAACTAAGGCTCTCCTTTAGGAAATATCGATGGTGAACAAGACTGCTCTGAACAATTAAATATCAGAAATTCAAACATATCACAAGGACATGCAGTTATGAAAGCAGTAGACAACCGTTGCTTAAAAAATAAGAATAAGACCTTTATAGATCATGATTGGGACATAGAGGTTACGTCTGCAGTTTATTGTTACTGAGTCAGTTGATTCTGATTGAGGCATAGAGCTTTTGTTTCTGTTACGATTTGTTGAGGGAGTCCTCTTACACAGTCACTTCACTGAGAATATGCCTTAACCCCTATCTTTTACAAGGAGACTGCTAGGACTCTGAACAAAGGCAGTTTGTTTGTTCTAGTTCACTTTAATATGCGTTTCAAAATTGTAAAGAAGTCCAAAAATATCCAGACGTTGAAAAGCCCAACTGCCAATAGACTTTCCTGCTAAAAACTGAGGTTTGCCAGAAATCACTCATGTTCCAGCCGTTGAACTGAAGACAATGCACTCGTCCAGGCTACAGCCTGTTCCTTATTTACAATAAAATAACAAACCTGTGTGTCTCTGCAGATCAGGGCTGTAACCTGATACAAACCCCAAATGTGAAGTAATTTTCAGTTCGAGTTTAACTCTGTGCTGCATTTCATAACAGGCTTTCGTTTCGGACACAAGCGTGGAGCCGCTGAGCGGAGCGATGTGGCGGACGGGTCCTCGTGCCTAGCCGTCACGAAAGACAGCTTGCCCGCGGCTGCCCCCCCCGTGCCCGGCGGGCGGGACGCCCCCCCAGCCGGGCCATTGCTTCAGTTCGGGGGGGCTGAAGGAAACGAGCGTCGGCGCCAGCTGCACACGAACGTGCTCCGGGAAGGTAAACAGAGCGAAGCCTGTGGAAGGGCCTGGGAACTACCCACCGTCTCCTGCTAGTTACCGACACGGATTAATGCTGACAATTGATGGCTGACAGTAAAAACACTGCCACATAAATAATAAACTTTCCACCTTTATTTAACCAAAACTCTATCTGTAATATAGTACCGCCTTTCTTGTACTGGCTTTATAATTAATAATATCGCCTCGGGCATGTTCAGCTCACTTATTGTGTGGAGACCATATGTTGTTTTGTTCACTCGAGCAGTGTGCACAGAGACACTAGGCCTTATGTACAGATCCAACAGAGAATTGACTGTGGTAAAAACCTGCCAAAGCCCAGAGGCGAGGAAGACATGCACCGTCCTTTCTGAATAACAAGAACACTAATCAGTTCTTCATTACTGTGGCTTTCCACAATCATGTTCCATTTCAAAGTGAAATATACTGCCCCTGTGAATTCTGACCAGCTTCCTGTGTGACATATACATTTTGTAGGTTTGAAGATTGAGAAATGTGTTCTCTGTTTTCACTGTTCTAAGGTTGTAAAATGTCCCTTTCAAAATCTTTAACAATTATGTTTTAACACTACTGTGCCCAAGTGCCAGCATGTTCTCTCCTCTTCTACATAATCCACAGTAAAACGTTTTGATAAAAATACTGTTTATGTTTATAAAATTTCATTGCTCAAACACTTCAAATAACAGCCAAAATGCTGTTGTAAATTTCCAAATGCAGCTCCAATTCAGTGACGAATATTAGATCATTTAATACAATAAAATAATGTTTTTTGTTAATCAACTCCTATGTTTTTCACCCTTGCACTTTCTCCCTGCAGTGAAAGACACGATGGGGAAGGGGCTGACAGCAACAGCTTCTTGACCCTCAGAAAACCCAACACAAACGCCTGATCTACACAAAAGGACAGTCCTGTGCTCGGAAGCTGAGCGATGGATGCTGAAAGCTGGTCGTTCGTCACTCAGCCGAAATCCTGGTCGGGGATGTTAAAACTTCTGAACACGTCGAGCTACTCCCAGCGTCTTGCGCCGAAACGCACACACACACATAAATTCCAGGAGCAAAGCTTTCGTGTGGTGATGGAAAGCAGTATTACGAAAATGCTTCATTCCTACACATTTACGAGAACTGTCCCTTTTTGACACGGTGCAGGAGGAAGCTGGATGGAACCCAGCTCATCTGGCTGCTGGGCCTTCAGAGTCTGAAGGAAATGCATCTTTGTTGTTGTTGGGTTTTGCTAGTTCTTTTCTTGAAATGTTTTAAGACGGGAATGTTTATAAAAAAAAAATCTGTTGACTTATTCTGCTGACTATAACAGAATGCTGGTCTTTTCACTGGATTTACCTATATTTTTCCCCACTGTGGAGTTAATTACTTGTAATGCAACCCAGCGAAAGACACTGAATGTCTTCACACTTTCCCAATATTGTTTCTGCAATTACACACAGAACAGACTTCCTGTCTTTTTTTTCTTCTTGTTGCATGACATTTTACACAATTCTAATCCCAAATTAATACATTAACAATGGAAAACCGACAGGACGCCTTGTCAGCTGTTCTTCCAGCGCTATCTGCCAGTACGAGCAAGCTGACACGGCTCCAACACAAACCGAGGCCAGCCTGTGAGAGCTTGGCGGCGCTCTGCCTTGACGCAAAGTCAACAAGCCAGGTTTCAGAGGGGCTTTTTCTCTGAAACAGAGCTTTATCCCAGACTTAGGCTGCCAGATTTATAGTATTGTTAGTCAAAGTTATCTGTCAGCAATACTGGACTTTTTATGACAGGAATTGCCCTGGTTTCACTGAAATTGTCTCATTTTGATGTCTGTGGTTAGTTATCAAAAAATTAAAATGAAACTGTGTTGCGTTAACGTGCAGATGGGCCTGAAAGCTACAAACCCCACCATGGGAGCTAGACAGTGTGGCTCCTCATTAGGACAAGCCTGAGGGCTGTCTCTGAAAACCCTTTCGCTTGCCGAGAGATGAAACCCTGTCATTTCTCTGCAGTAAAAAAAAAAGTCCTTAACTGTTGTGGAGGAGAAATATTGTGGGTGCTTTTTTCTCATCCCGGCATATTCCTGAATACTGTGCTTCATTTGCAAAACGGCAGAAAGCACACTCCAAGTGCTACATATGGTTTAGATTTCCTTGAAAAGCCACATATGCAAACCTGCATCTCTTCAGCAGGAGGAGAGCGAGCGAAGGGCCTGCAGGGGGCGCTGTGTCTCTTTCCAAAGCAGCTGGTTTCTGGAAACCGATCTCAATCATCTACTTTCCGTCTCTTAAAGGGTCTCAGCGAATTTGTGCATTTTTTCTCTTACATGACAAGAAACAAAAACCAGCAGAAAGTCGGCACGTCACCTAATGAGTGTTTGTGGTGAAGAGTGCGAGCATCTCAGAGTGTTTGAACTGTCTGTACTTAATGAAACTGAGTGTTTCAGGATTGTTGACAGGGGCCCAGCTGTGACATGAACAATAACAGAAAGACTCTGCAAGGAGCCTGAAGAGTACAGTGGTCTCACCTCTCACTGCTCTCATCGTACTATTCCCATTCACAGAGACCCGCTGTTCCTACACTACTGCAGCACCGGCTCCACCGACACCGAAGACACGCGATACATGAGAGCACACACACCTCCTCACATGGCAGGGGTTCGGGGCTGTGAAAGTCACAGTATGAACACTGACACCTAGCCTCACAGCCAGCAAAACTGCTTTTTTTTTGGGGGGGGGGGGGACACAAGAGTCACAAAGCATTAAAATACCTCAGCAAATGATGACGTTAATAGGATTGCCAAATTACTTCTGAGGAATGTTTCTGATGTGCTCAATTAGAGGCAGGGGCTTGGAACAGCGCTTTGCTCAAGAGCCTCACTGTGCACGGTCTGGCTGGCTTACTGGCAGCAGCGCCCGCCCTGCATGCGAGTCGCTCCCCTCTCCTGGGAAGAGAGCAAGGGGGCGAACATGTTCCTGGAGTCCTCTGTCATTAGCATCCCTCCCTCCTGCCTGAGGGTCAGGGAGGGACTGAGCAACGCTCCTTACCCAGGCTCATTTTAATGGGCAGGTTCTCCTTGCTGGCAGCCTCCACCAGGTGTCTCCGCACCTCCATCACCGCCTCCTTGTGCTTGGCGCTCAGCATGGACTCCCAGAGGGCGCGGGCTGCGGGGTCACTGCAGGGAAACAAGAGGGCCGGAGTCAGACGCTGCCCACCCACGGAGCGGTTCCCCCACAGCGGGCAAAGGAGAGGGAGCCATCGGGCCCCTTCCCTTCCTTCTGCGGATCCCGGACGTCAAGGGGAGAGGGCAGACTTGCCCGACATTCCCCCAGCCCTTACAGCATCAGAATGTCACAGCCATCTGACCCCCATCCCCAGGGTCTCACTCAGCAATAGCGAACGTAGCGCACTGTGTGTGGCTCCTGAAGTGGGCTACGCATGCGAGATACTGTACATGTCACACTCGTGAGCTGTCGTGTCCCTGATTACCCTTCAGGCTGCAGATTAAAGTGGAAGTGTAAGCCTGGAGCTTTTCTGCTCGTCCGGTCCCCTGTCCACACATCATCAGAATGGGTCTCCTTTTTCGAGAGGCTGCCATCCTGTCTCAGCACACGCCGCTCTTAGCCTGACCTGCTCGTGCCTCTAGACCGGTGGTAACGTGGACACTCGCCTCTAGTTCCAGCTCAGATGTTTTTGTTTTGAAAGCTTCTTTTGTCACAAAACACAAAACGTTCTTTGGCTTTGTGTTCATACAAGAGCTCCGTGATCATAAACCTTAATGAATGTTGCGGAAAGGAAGAGCCACAGCCCCCAATTTCAGAAGGTGATTTATTTGGCTGGAATACGGCAAACTAAAGATAGAATATCACAGTCCCGTTTCTTAAAAACAAACTGACATGGAGCCCGAGTTTTAAGCCATGCTGTTTTTCTTCTTTTCTTTCAAAAGGAAAAAAAACCTCCTTTCCCTCGTAACTGCTACCATATGTTTAATATCAGATGTAATCTGTTCCATTCCTAAACACTGCGGCCTGAGAAGGGGGCTCCGATTGAGCAACACGATTTTAAAGACAAGGAGAGACAAAGGAGAGAACAAGCTCGAGAGGGGAAAAAAACGCTCATTTAATATTTTGTTTTTCCAACTGCTTGTGGTTCATGAATTATGGGAAGGACAAAAGAATTTTTGTAAAAGGCACAGATTTGGCATGACAGAACAAAATTAGAGAAGACTGTTTCTTTAAACTTTCTCAACAGTTAGTGGAATTAAAATATTTTTGGGGAATTTTGCCTGACAATCTTGATCAATTCCGTTATGCTCTAAGAATTGTAACTGAACTTATTATTCAGAATTATTAGAAGGTATCTGAAACTTGAATTAGTTGAAACAGGTCTGACACATTTACCGGTAGAAGGTTTTTTTTATATATAAATCAAGAATCGAGAAATAAAATGGATACACGTCAGAAGCAGATTGTGAAGAAATCCTGCAAAGTCCTGAGATGTTATCTTTGAGGACAATAAAACTGTAGCTTTACCATTTTTGGAATCTACAAGGATGAAAAAAAGACAAACTTTGTGATAAATCTTCCTCACGTGGGCTGGATTTAAAAACAAATCAATAAATAGCTCATGTATGTTAACTCCCCTCATAAAAACAGCACATTTGGAATGCGTTTTACGTGGCTCGCCCATTTTGTCATTTCTGACTGCGTCCCATGCAAGAAGCCCTAACTTTGGCCAAAGTGTGTGTCTGGATCACAGTATGGTTTCAATTGTCTGACCCCCCCGCCAGATCCCCCCAGTCGATGCCTGAGCCCGAGGGACACGGAGAGACAGACTGCAGCCCCAGCCCTGCCCCCGGTCACCAGAGCCCCCGAACACAGCTATCTGACTGGCCCTCTGGGCTGGGAGGACGGGGGCTTATGGGATACCACTTGGAGAGCGATTCCGAGATGGTGAGAGTAGCTCCTCAGAGATTTAGGCCTTGATTTACTGTGGTATGTTAGTATTTTGTATTATTTTCTCCTAAAAATAAAAAAAAAACACAACCTAATCGTGGAAGCAGAAACTGCATGCTTTGAGTTATTTTCAATTAACTTCATGAAGACACGGGGCACAAAGGCGAGCACGAGCTGTGGAACCCATTTGGTTTCTATCGTTTGCCATCACCAGTGCCGCCATTTTAACAAGACCGGCCCAGTTCTGAAAAACACATAACCAAGGCCCAGGAAAGCCAGCGGCACCTCTGCCAGCCACAGGGCCCCCTCCTCCCCCAGCACTGACCGAGAGCTGCTGGAGAGACGCGAGTGACTCAGGCTGCCTGCAGGCACCGAAGAGAGACTAACCCTCAGTCAACCTGAGCTGCTTCAACAATCAGCTGTGAAAACACTCTCACGATTAGGCAATCACCAAGCTCATGTCTAACACCCCCCCGGCGCTGATGAGAATTCAGACCTCAATGTCAGTTTTATTTTTTCCCGCTTTTTTCAACCAGCGATTAAACAATGTTTTGCCAAAGAGAGAGCGCAGTTTTACTGGAAGAACTTGACAAATGACAAATGATTCATGCCCCCCACCTGCACAGATTTTCTTGCTACATTAAAACCCACAAAGAGAATTGCGCCTCCTCAGTTGGGCACGCGATACCTGTTCAGAGCTCAAAGCGGTCAGGCTTTTATTTCAAAGCCTATTACTATCATCACTGTAATGGTTGCCGAGGTCAGACTCTTAAAACAACGCAGAACAGTACGCAGACAAGCTCGTTTATCACTGGTTAAACAGTACAACACACCCAGCCTGCAGGAATTTGGCCCTGGAGATGCCAACTCCACCATTGTGTGTGGGGTCCATCTTTGCTCCCTCATTAAAACGCTCAAGATGGAGCAGGTTCCTACCAGTCTTTACGGGGCTGTACCCACTAGCTGGGAAAGCGCTGATGGAGCACCCATCCAGGAGAAGGGGAACATAACCCAACCAGGTAACTGCAAACCAGCAAGTCCTGTTTCCATCACATGTAGGCCTAAGGTTAATGAAACTATAAGTAAACCCAAACTAGAGGATCAATCAACAGGACTATACTGTATATAGAGCATATAAATAGAGCAGGAGACAAAATACAAATAGATGAGGACCACTGCTTTTCCCAATTCATAATGACACTGCAAAAGGGACAGACTATTCTGATGGCATTCGAATATCAACAGGTGGGGAGTATTACATAAAGGTAGCAGAAACAGGCAGCTTAAAAGATAGGACAAACTAAACCTGAGGAATATCCCTAAGAAAAAACCTTGGATGTTTACATTTAATCTTTTATTCGGTTACATTTGCTAGACAGTGAGGGGAAGCAATAAAGAAGATAAACAGAATTCATTTAGATCAGGGCATGTTATGTCAACATCGTTCAATGCACTGCCAAAACCTAATTTAGAGTATTGTGTACACTTTTGGTCACTACATTGCAAAAAAGATATTGCTGCCTTGGAACCAGTCCAGAAAAAAGCAACTATGTACATTCCCGGAGTTAAAGGAATGTCCATCCTGACTGGCCGAAAGAACCAATTTCAAAATCCTCCAGTCATCACTAAAGGGAAAGTCTTACTCTTCTTTATAATCTATTTTATACTAATAATGTTAATGACCTCCCCACCCCTCTGTTACCCTCCTGATATGCAGCTCTGATATCCTGGATTTGAAGAGTTCACCAAATCAAATACAGTGATCTCATTATTTCGCTGGAGTCAACCGATACTCCTGACACAGTGGAAAAAGCACATGAATGTGCAAAGAGGGCAAAGAGCCGAGTTCAGACAGACCCTGGACTCCCAGAATCGCACAGCACCCACGCCAGTTTCTTCTCAGAACATCTAAACATTCACTAGGTGGCCATTTCTGTCTCTGCAAAGCTACCATAAGGAACATTCAAGTCCAAGATAAATACACTGCAAAACCACATTAAGACATTCAGAAGTCCACTTAGGTTCATAGGGCTGCGTTTTATTTTTACCTCAGCCAAAACAGAACCACCCTGTGCACTGTAAGGAGTTCAGCTCCCACAGAACAGGGAGTCTGGCGGGTTCCGGTTTACACATTCAACATCTCTGCCGCGAGGTCAGTGTGTCATGTCATCAAAAACTTAACAGCATTTAGGAAAAACACAAGCAAAAGAAAGCAGTTTGGAGATGAGTAATTTCTGGATATGTCAATATATTAAGAGCCCCCAGACAAACAGACAAGAGACAGATGTCCGCCACCTCCACTGACCAGAGCAAAATCCCCACATCATCACCCTGCTGACAACCAGTCCCGTCCACAGTCACCATCACCCCCCGGCCTGACAGAGGCCCTGCTGGAAGAAGAACGGGATGCAACTGGGCTGCAGACACGACCGACGTCAGCGGGAAACGCATCTCGCTTGCTGGTCAGGCCCTTCCTCCTGCGCGCAGACACCTGGCAGGTATGCGCTGATGGCGAATGCGCTCTGCAGTGTGACCTCCTCAACAGAAAATAATCTAGGAAGCCCGGGAACAATCTACTACTACATCCTTTATAGCCCAATCTCTGTTAGTGTAGCTTACAACTCCAGTCTGTGAGGTATTTAAAGCATGATCGCATTTAGAGTACTTATAGTATGATCAGCCCCTCCACAGGACAGGACGAGGAGGTAGGCAGCCGTCCCAGTGCTGTGGAAATGTAGCAGTGATAAGCACACTGTTGTTATTTGGGGTGGGTGGTTGTAACTGTATCATTAATTGAGGTGTAATTGATGACAATTACTATACATCAGCCCAATTGAGCACCAAGTGCAGTTTAAAAAGCTTATCTAGGAAGCACTTTAACTTTAACAGCACTGGAGAGCATAACACTAATGAAAAAATAAACATTTGCCAATCTGCAATTTACCCAGTGTACAATAAAGAGGAACCACAAAGTCTGACCAATACAAAGGGTATAATGTTAAAACCCAGCATTTTTTTTGAATAAAAAGAGGAGGGGTGGATTTCCTGTGTGCAGGACAAACCTCAGGCCACTCCGCTGGTGCGATGTGCTGCAGACTCGGCCATGTCTGTGTGCTTTGGCAGCAGCCCAGGCCTGTAGAGGCCATAGTCTGATTTACGAGTGAAGGGTTAGGGTTGGGGCAAGGCAGAGAGCGGTGGCTGTCAGAAGGACCAGGTCTTG